ATCTTACAGGTTGTCGACGCTGTAAAATCCCCAGAGAGAGTGTTTTTGTAGCATCATGCTGTGACTCACACGATGACCCAAGGTCATCAGGAGCAACAAACTAAGCCTATCTCCGTCTCAATGGTAGCGATGCTTGCGAGTTAAATATACAAATCTGCAAATAACTCTAAGGATATTCAAGATATTCAAGAAATTTTTTTTCGTAAACCTTTCCGGGGATACACCTCATAATATCCCAAAATTTCACGGCGATTGGATGTATGGTTTTTGAATCCATAGAGGACACACACACACACAGACAGACAGACAGACAGACAGACATTCATTTTTATATATATAGATTAATTTAAATATTATATACATTTCAAATACAACTGTAATTTGGCATAGATTCGAATTGCTATTTTCTAAGGTGTTATTTTCACTATTAATTCAACGGTGATTTTTTATAAGAAGTTCAGTATATTATATATATTCACTATATTATCTATATATTTTCGAGCCCAGTGTTCAAGTTTTTGGTTATGCTTTATCTAATTTAAAATCTACAATACAGAAGAAGCATAACAAAAAACTGGAATACTGGGCTCGAAATGTTAATATACCGAAATTACTCAGAATCATAAACAATTCTAGAGTAGTCAACCTTTTATTTATTTATTTTTTTAAATTTATTTTTCAATTTAAAGCGCTATATACCCCTAGGGACACTTGCGCTGTCATACATGTATGCCTTTACATTTGTCTATACATATATACACAACAATCTTAGGCCTTGAATAGAATAGACATATGATATATATTAACAATGAAAAAGAGAGAAAAAACTAGAAAAATACATTTGTACAAAAGAAAGAAGTGTCTGGCAATATGTACAATCAACCAAATATAAATTATCAGTTTCTTAAAAGATATTTGTTGCCTATCCCATGTAAATCTCACCGCAGATGAAATAACATTTCTTTCAAAAGGTTTAAAACATTGAATATTAAAAATTAAAAAGGTTTCCAGAGAGTAGTTTTCTGTTTTAATTGTTCAATTAATGTTCAGGAGATTTGAAACAATTCATGTGAAAACATAGTATAATAGAAAACCGGGCCCTATAAAAATTATCGTGGAGTTGAAGCGTCGATAGAAAACCTTCAGAATCAGGACAAATGCGAAATCAGACACATGATCACTAGCACTCTAAAACACCAAGAAATATCCCATTGCTGAATCCAAATGAGAGATAAATCATTAAGAACCTTAAGAAAAGAAAATAAATTGTAATTACGCAAGGAGAAAAGGTAGGCATGACCGCTGCCATAGATAGAGCGGAGTATTGCGAAAAGATGAAAATGATATTAATGATAAAACAATTTTTGAACCAATCAGTGAAATAAATAAAAATATTTTATATGTATATCTTAAAGAGGAATTGAACAGGATGTTAAGGAAAAGACAAACAACAAAAAATAATATAATTTATTCCTTTCGAATCTTGATAGCAATAGTAATATATACGGGAAACCAAATTTACATAAACCAAACATTCCTCTTAGACCCATAGTGACCTTCCAACAATCACCTCTAGCTCCAATAGCCAAATTCGTTTCAGTCTTTCTACAACCCATTATCAGAAGTAGGTTTTTTCCATTTTTAATTTCTAAAGTACCAAAATTTGTACTGGAAGTTCTTAACACTAAAATACAAAATACTCAAATACTATTATCATTTGATGTAGAAGCTTTATATCCTAGTCTCCCCCATGAATTGATTATTCAAAATACTAGAACCATGGTAATAGAAAATAGTATAGATACTTTAAACATTGATAATATTATAAATTTGATATCAATATGTCTAAAAATAAACGTATTTACATTCAATACCAAACATACAAGCAAATTAAAGGTTAACCCATGGGAAACTCCTTGTCATCACTAATAACGGAGATAGTAATGAGAAACATAGATACATGGATCAATTCTGTGTATTCTAATGACTTAATTATATACAGAATATACATATAAGCTATATTTAGTATTTGTACAGAAGATAAACTTAACGATATTCTGATGTCACTTAATAATAATTACCACAAAACCTTAAATTTACAATAGAAAAAGAAAACAATTGTTTCCTCCCTTTCTTAGGTTTAAAAATTAATCGAATATGTGAAAATTTAGAAACTACAGTATTTTACAAACCATCGTTCATACCTAATTACATGGAATTTTCTTCAAATGGCCTTCTCGGCCACAAAATAAATACAATTGAAACCCTCTCCAAAAGATTATATACACATTTTTCTACATCCGAGCATAAAACAAAAGAAATGAAAAACATAGTTAAAAATTTAATAGCATAAGGGTACCCTAAATCTTTAATATTGCGACATTTCTACAAACCTACAGAAGAGTAACCACACAGAAATTTACAGATCAATATATTTTATCCCATACTACCCTCAATCAGTTAATATAGCTAGACATCTTAGAAAACATAGCGCATTGAAACAATATATAATAAATCCCCTAACATAGGTACTATAGTCAGAAACCAAATAACTAAATATAATCATCCAAGCATACCTATCGATAAAAAAGAGAAGCCATATATTCAATATTATGTAATAAATGTGATATAAGATATTTGGGGAGACTGTGGGAGAGAGTTTATAACAGAATAGGTAAACATAGTAGGAATATAAAAACACAATAACCCGTTATCATTAATAGTACAGCACATAAATGAGACAGGACACAATTTTAATTTAACAGAACCTACAATACATTATAGTAATATTCATAACAAACAGCAAATGTTAGTTATATAATCAATAAATTATAATCAAAACAATAGTATAAACTGAAGTAAAGACCTGAAATGTACGAAACAATAGTCACAATTAAAATTCATAATTAACCCATATTTATGTTATATAATAGGAATGTAGCTTTGGTCATATTTACATATAGGTAAAAACTAATCATTTTATTAGTTTATAAAATAGCTAAATATACAAAAATAACAACAATAGAATTATATTATAAAATTAAAATTACTTGAAAACATTCTCCATAGTTCTTTATCGTTTATAGAATTATATTATATATACGATTTTTAAAATATATAAAATAGATTTTAAATTTGTATATATTTACGGCGTGAAGTTGTTTCTCTTTCATGTTAAATGCGTGTGCTATTGGCACCGATGTAAACTTATAAGTGATGTAAAAAATCACAGCTTTCAAACCAACTTTAGAGGGATTAATGAATAAGCGCTTACTTCTGTATTTTGTATTCTGTACATCATTTTAATACGCTAAATTATTTTCTTATGAGAAGAAGTTTTGAAATTCAGTTTGTAGTTAACGAAAAAAAGCATACTTTTATGTCCTTATGCAGAAGATTTCAACCTTTCTACCTAGAAGCTAAAAATGCATTTTGTATTTTGGATAAATGCAAATCATGAATGAGGTTTTTCAAATTCGATGAATCAGTCTCGTAGTATATGACAAATCTAAATTTTTAAAGGTGTATGTTCTGATATAGATATTGGTCAAACAAAAATAAGTCTGAATAATAGTCATTTGGTTCCCTCCATAACTTTTAAATCGCAAAATACATATGGCCTTTAACTTTAATTCATCCTTTTGAAGCTGAGTACAGGATTGACAACAATTATGAAGGGCTGATATCCACAAGATTATCCTAATTCTCCACAGATGTAACAGAAAATTTATTATTCGCGCAATTCCTTGTCATGTTTCGTGTTTCCACGATCTAGAACACAATTTGATGTATAAAATGTGGAAAAGCAAATAAAATTATTTAGTATTACAATAAATGAATAATGAATATAAATAATAAAAAAAAATTTTCATAGATTAAAATTTCCATCTCTACTACAATGTTCTACTGAAATAATTGTTGATTTAGCTTACATCTTCACAAAGCAAGAAAAACCCGCAGCAAATCTATCACTAATAACTAATTAAAAAAGGTTTAAGCAAAAAGCTTACATGATATGGTTTGCGTTTTTTACTGAGTATTTATCCCAACCTAACAAAATGAAGCACTTTATATATATTTAGACCTTCGCTCAATTTTAACATATATAGATGATATCCACAATTGGCATCATTACGTCTTTAGTTGAACTCTAACAAGCTTAGTTTTATATTTTTTATTTCAAAATCCATCTAAAATACAACTTGAAAAGTTTTAAAATGCCGTTTACTACTCTGTAGTTCTTTAAAACATATTTTAAAAATTAAAATAACTTTTAATACTTTCCGTTATAATTTACTAGACGAATGGCCCGGGCAACGCCCGGGTTTTACCCGAGTGCGCATATATTTTAAAAACGTTTTAATTCAAATACTATTCGTTACAATTATAAATTGGCGCCATGGATGTCACTCTTGTGAAACGTCCCGTTCCAAACTGTGTGTTTTTAAAATGTTTTAATTAAAATACTATTCGTTACAATTATAAATTGGCGCCGTGGATGTCTCTCTTGTGAAACGTCCCGCCCCAAACTGTGTGTGTCTTGAAAATATAAAAATAAAAATGTGAATTTTCATAAAGATTTCATCATGTCGATTTTTTTTTTTGCATTTCACCTACTAAATCGATAGAGATAATTACATTTGCAACATGAACTTAGGTATATTGACTAAATAGAAAACGGCATAGTAATAAAGATCATTTTTTAAAGGCACCATATCGTTTTTTTTTTTCAATAAAATCGAAACAAAAATTAACGATAAATAACGATAATTGCCTTAAAAAGAAATTGCCTTAAAAAAAGAAACATTCGCGGTGATTTTGTCTTGCATTCGTTTATACAATTATTATATACGAATGACCCGGGCGCGCGCAACGCCCGGGTTTTACCCGATTAAATGCTTTTATTCAAATACTATTCGTTACAATTATAAATTGGCGCCGTGGATGTCATTCTTGTATAATATATAAATGAGTTTTAAAAATTGTAAAAAAAAAAAAAATGCATCGGTCGGGAATCGAACCCGGGCCGACCGCGTGGCAGGCGAGCATTCTACCACTGAACCACCGATGGTTATGAAAAAAACATCCGTGAGCTTCAAACAGACAAACAGACAGAATAAGGCAAATATATAAGTAGATCTCTGAGATATTTCAAACTGTTATTTGAAACAGCATTCATATCCCCTTGAAAGTTAATGATGGCAAACTGCTGGGCCAATCACTTCTCAATATTTATCATTTAAAAAGGAAACAATTTGCCTCACAAATATATAAGTAATATTGTTGCATATGATCTTGTCGACGTATGGATAAACTGGCAGTCGTGTACGTGAGGCGAGTGTTGATTGTCTCTGCCCCAGTTGCCACCATCTGACCACTCTTTGGAATTTTATTTTGAAGTCATAATTTTGAGGTTAAATACAAATAATGGTGTACAGTTTGTATTGATAAAGATATAGCATATATACAAAATATGGGGTGGTAGCAAATAGGATCTGTGTAAATTTTAATAGAAGGTTAGAATCTTATAAAGTATTGGCTCTAACTAATTGGAAGATGTGTCAAATAAACTAAAATTGTCATTATCATACAGTTTAAAATATACTATCTATATATGGTAATTTAAACCAAAACCTCATATTAGGTATAATATAACCAGATTTTCATGTTGTATAATAGAAACACATCTATAAATAATTATACGCATGTTTGACATATGTCATTACATCATCATATATAATATACTTTGTACAACTGAGGATAAATAAATAAAACTCAGTAATAGATTAAGAGTTGAGTTAAAGCAAGAGATTGAGATAGAAGTCCAACGAGTCCTAGAAGATGTCAGGGCGTTGCCTGTATAAGTCTCCAACAGGGCCAAAAATAAATAGTCACTTCACCATCAGCGTAAGCCCTCGTCGGTTGTGTCCAAGGTCCGCACCATCGAGCATGTAGACCAGTAAGAACTTTTCTCAAATATCCATCCTTTCGCTCCTAGTTCGACTCTATCTGTTCACAGAACTTTCCTAGTACAACTGTTTCTCTTCGTTTTTTGTGTGAAATTCCCAAGCTTTCCACTCTGCCTCGACCACTACTGCCTGTACTCTGTGAGAACTGTTAAAGGTCTTCCAAGGTGCAGAGAGGTACTGGAAAACTCTCCACATCCTGACTGTTCCTCTCGGTTAACACAGTATAGCGAGAGTCGACAGGATCTCACACCATAGATTAAGTCGACAGGATTTCATATATATATATATATATATATATATTAGATAATAAAATGCATATATTGGATTTAATAAAATATTTATTTTGCCAATATTTCGGCTGGCTGAACGCCAACCTTTATCGAGGCATCACATTTTTGTATACATAAATATACGGCGTTGAGTTTGTGTATACAAAAATGTGATGCCTCGATAAAGATTGGCGTTCAGCCAGCCGAAATATTGGCAAAATAAATATTTTATTAAATCCAATATATGCATTTTATTATCTAATGAATTGAGTATGGATTGCTCTATTTTCAAAACAATATATATATATATTAAAAATAAAGAAGGCATCTCCTGACCACGAGCACATGTGCTTTATAGATGGCAGAGCGCCATCTAGTGGAGCAAGAATAAACTAAACGTTTATTTAGCTTGCTCCGTGATATTTGGCCAACCCAATTTCTTGATAAATCAAGAAAAGCCATCCACGAATATATATATGTGGCAATATAGTGGTAATGATGTGGTGAGGTGAGAAATAAGGAAACAACAAGTTTGGAAGATGGAACCCAGCAAACCGAGGGAGAGAGGGAGCGCTAGCGGCTGCCACCGCGGAAATGCACGTCTTGTGTGGCCACCACCCCCCCGACTGAGTAAACATAGAACTGAGGTTCCAAGAAAAGGCCCTGCGGTCGCCCCCTTGGAATGTGACTGCTATATCAAGTGACCGGCCTTAGCTGCGTTCTCTCTCTCTCTCTCTCTGGTCGACTGTAGATTTGTTTTATTAATCCTGGAAGAGCATATATTATGACATATATATGTCAAGTAAGAAGTTTCAGAAGATGAGTTTCTTTTAATTGTAAAACATTACAAGCTTTCGGGCAATGCCCTTCTACAGGTAAAATAAAAATAAAAACAAAATTTAAAGGTAAATTAAGGCAACTAATTTATTTTTATTTTACCTGTAGAAGGGCATTGCCCGAAAGCTTGTAATGTTTTACAATTAAAAGAAACTCATCTTCTGAAACTTCTTACTTGACATATCTTACTGAAAGAGTCTTTGACCTTTACTCATATATATATATGTTAAAAATAAAAATGGCATATCCTGACCCAGAGCACATGTGCTTTACAGAAGGCAGAGCGCCATCTGGTGGAACAGAAATCATCTGAACATTGATTTAGCCTGTTCCCTGATATTTGGCAACCCATTTTCTTTATAAATCAAGAAAAGCCATATACGCTTAACACATGAAAAAATGAAAGAAAAAATAAAAGATAAAAAGGTCAGGTGTTGAAATAAAAAAAAATAAAAATGGCATATTTTGATAAATCAAGATATTGGGTTGGCCAAATATGTGTGTATGTGGCCAAATGATCCTGCCGACTTACTCTGGTCTTGTAAATGATCCTGTCGACTTACTGTGTTGTTGCAAATGATCCTGTCGAATTACTGTGGGGTTTCAAATGATCCTGTCGACTTACTGTGGGGTTTCAAATGATTCTGTCGACTTACTGTGGTGTTGCAAATGATTCTGTCGACTTATTGTGGTGTTGCAACTGATTCTGTCAACTAAATGTGGTAATGATGTTTATCCTGTTAAATGACTGTAGTGTGGTATGTTTAGTTGTCTCCTGATTGTTGTAGTAGGCAGATTAGATGCAGTCGTGATGGCCACAATGGTCAGAGTGAGTTCAGGCGTGAATGGGATTGCACAAAAGGGCGAGGCATGTTGGATGTCATCTCAGAGAGAGTGCGAGCAAGAGAGAGGGTAGCCGACGCCGATCATAGAGCATTTGATCTATTTTAGAGACAGGGAGGGAATGGTGGTAATCCGACTAGGTTTTTCCGAATATGTTTAGGAATATGCTTTAATTATATTTATTTCAAAAGTAAAAGTAGAAATACACATTTGTTTTCTAATTTTTAGCGATAGAAGGAGCTAAGTTGAGGATGATATTTAAAACAAGTTTGTAGAATCCAAAGGTAGTTAGTCCTATCGGGTGTTTCTGTTTTTCATCAAAAAACTGCATTGTTAACCAAATGTGCAACTTTTCTGGATCAAAATTCACAGCGGTATTGCAGGAAATTAACTGGTGGATCAGGCGGCAAAAGTAACGGAAAATTCAAAGTTGCCACTATCTTTATCACACTCCCAAAAAGCGTTGCGTACGGTAAAAAATAACAGATAGCCCATAAAATGTGGACAGATATCTACACCGAAGATGTCTTCAACAGAAATATACGAAGATTTGCTGCTACCCCCGAAACTACTGCTATCAATACTTCAAAACATAAAACATGGATTTACCTCCACAACAATCCTGACTGGCCATGGTTTCATCCAGGCAGACTTTGCAAGGGTATTGAAAGAAGACCCAACTTGCCCCCATTGCCAAAATGAAGACCAAACCGTAGACCACCTCCTCTTAACCTGCCCAAACTTCTAATACCAAAGATTCCTGACAGCCACCCTCCTAGGTATCACCAATCTCCCAAAGATAGAAATCTGACTGGAAACACCTCATGAATTGGACTTCCACTGACATTGTAAATAAAATCAATACATAGTTAAGAAAGACAGGTAGTTGGCGACTTCTGTACGCTCCAAGAACCAGCGTTACCCAAATAAATAATGTGTATCGGTGTGTGTATTAATTCCTAGTCTAACGAAGATGAAGGTTTCTATCGAAGTTCTGTTAGAAAGAAACTTTTTGTTGATAAAGTATGTGGATATTAGATTCCTATCCAGGGTGTTTTTAAATTTTTATTTTTTTCTTTTTAAATAATAATTCAAAATTAAAAATATTTATAATTTTTATGTAAATATTTAATGACAATGTTTCCCTTTTTACTTTCTTTCTCCTTGTTAATATCTCTCTCTCTTATGACTTAAGATTAATAATTACGACCTAAAATTATTGTAAATATGTATAGGCAACTACAGAAACGTACACGTGTGACAGCGCAAGTGTCACTAGAGGGAGATAGCGTTCATCAAATTGATATAAAAATAATGAAAATACATTATTTTTATTTTATTACACTGATGTGTAAAATATTTACAATGTTTCAGCTATTGATTTTATGATAATATAACAGAAAAAAAATATTTTTAACATAATTCTGAAAATGAATTTACACTTTAAAAATATTGTGTAATTTTATTTAATATCAAAAAGTTAATAAAATAAAATTTTATATATGCAAAAATTAGTTGAAATTAACCATTTATAAATATATACTTTTCTAAAAATATATATTAAATATAATTATAAAATTAATATCACACACAACACATTTAATAATTGAATAGTTAAAAAATTGTGATAATAAAAATATAAAATATTTCAAATATGTAAATATGGATACACTTCAAAACGCAGAAATCGTTTGGGATTGTTTTCAGATATTCTTCCGCGTTCTAATCTTAAACATCTCTGAAACATATTATGGAAAAGACGGAAAAATACGCGATAAGATTATATGGAATGGATTCTTTTGAAGGAAAAAATAGCATTGATATAGAGATAAATATAAGAGGAAACGTTTATACGAAATTATTACAAGACAGCAAAACTGTTGCTGATCTTGATCGACTGATGGTTAAATGGTTCAATGTCATTCCCAATACCATGAGATCGAACGGAATGCAATTGCCAAACGATATGACTGTACGAGATTGCTACGTGCTAAGACACAGAGACCTGATTGGAAAATATAATGTGGAAACTGAAGCCGAGAAGAAATAGTCGAATATTCAAAATCTACATGGTGCCTCAAGAAGACTTCCTTTCCAAAAAAAAAAAACTCTTTTTGTAACAAGACTGCTGTATTTCAGAAAAAAAACGTTTT